AGACACGAATATAGATTTTCTTTAAGCTGGGTTAATAAATGTGACATTCCATCCTAAGCAGGCTGAAGGAACTGAACATAAGTGATGCACAGGATACATTTTATTCATATTTAATAGAGAAATTACTGCATATATGTTTTTAAGTTAGAAGATAATAACTGCTCTTTCATTTCACAACATCACTCAACAAAGAATTTTTCCAGATAAGAAAAGTAGATTTTATTGCCATCCTCATTTTACAAATTACAAACAACATGCAAGGAAAATAGATGTGTATTTCATAAAACCCTGCTCTACCTTTACTTTGAAAGGAGAATAAGATAGTTTAAGGTGTGTATTCAGTTTCTTGGCTCCGTGCCTAGAGTTCTGCTTTACAAATAATCAAGCCTGAACCATGTTTACCAATATGTAAATCGTTATGAGAAGTATCTGTTCATTGACAGAAAGATATGACTTTCATGTTATACATATGGTATGTAGTATTTTGAATCAATATAATGAACAAAATGGTGAAGAAGTAGGACAAGTACTTGTGCAAAGGGTGATGTTGCCCCAGTCCTGACTTCATTATGTTTTCTAGCTACATTTTGGAAATGAGCAACTGAATACAGAAGTATGGTTTTTGCTTTGCGAGACCTTGAGGTTTTCTTAAAGGAATAACCCGTTTATAAAAAAAGTGGAAGAATAAAATGTCATTTTACTGTACCACCATCAGAAATAGGTTTGGGGATTTTTTGGTTTTTTTTTTTTTTTTTTCATTTAACTGAAAAGATTTTCAGCTTTTATGCAAATGAGCTACGACTTTATGGTTTGGAACATAAGCAGCCAGAGTGAAGTTTCTCATCATAACCATTAAAAATCTATCTAAAAGTTAAGAAAATAACATAATATTCAGTTAAATATGGAAGAATTTTGAAAAAGGATTACCATACTATTGTTTTAGGATGAAAAGTATGAAAGATGAAAATCTGTCTTTAACAATTATGTGGAACACAAGTTAGTGGTATTGCACTTTATCTTAGCCCATTGTTTTAATTTATGATTAATTTTGAAGATTTTATTGAACATTTTAAATAGTATGTGTCCAACATTCAAGCCTCTGGCAGTTGATCTAAGTTTTTTTCCCCACAATTTCATTTGTCAAGAAAAAGACAGGTTTACTGTTTCACTGCTTCCCTAACTTGTATATGGATATGTGGAATATTTCCTTTAAGGACAAATTCTAAAGAGAGATAGAAAATAAATTAAGGTTTTATTTTATCATTCACCAAATTAGATATTCCTCTACAACATCTTTTTGCCTTGTAAATTATTTGCTTTCGGTCGGAAAGTTTCACAATGTTTAAAATTAACCAGAACATCCAGATCTTGTTTGATATAAAAAGCTTTATGGAACTTTTGCCTTGAAAGATAGCCCAAAAGTCAAACAAAATACCTTCATCAGGCAACAGCAAATTATTTTTTAATGAATTTATATGAAATACTAAGAACTGGAGGAAACTGGGATGTTTGGTTACATATATACATATATACATATATACATATATGCATATATGCATATATGCATATATAATCTGTAAAATTGTTTCTATTTTCATACAAAATAACTACAAAGATTTTATGATACTAAAGAAGCCCTTCCAAGTAGGCAAACACCTGGGGCTTTTTTTTTTTTTAATATGAGACAAGAGACTAAATTTAATAGTCATTACATTTCTGATATTAATGCTGTGGCTGATTCTCATGCATAATAATAATAATTTCTGTGATTCATGTACATTTTATGATTACTCATGGTTTCCTGCATAGCTTCTGAATCTAGTGACTCCATACGTAAAATAAACAGCATAAACAAAACAGCACGATAAAAATCGCTGCTTTGTGTGAGTGCAGCTCATTCTATTTGTAACACTTGTCTGAGATATAGGACGTTTTTTTCCAGAAGGAAAAGTGCCATCTACTGAATCACCAAAACAAAACTTTGCAGCATCTTGATAGATTTTTGTGAGAGAGGTCCTTCCCAATTACTGCAAGCCTTACTCAATTTGCAAACATAATTGAGATCACAGCTGACAGTGATATGGTACCTCACTAAGTATTCATTTAACGCAAGTGTGGGTTTTTGTATTCTTTCTTTCTTGAATAAATGTTCCTGGATTTCAAGTGTTAACGGAAAATCAGTGAACTGCACTTTGAATGTCTTAAGATTTTTACTTTCTAAATAACTTTTGCCCCCACGATTTCTGGGGAGACTTCTTGTGCATCCTCTGCATCTTCTTAACACTATAAAGAGGTCAGACTTCCAGTAAGGAGTTACTCTTACTTTCCCTGATTAGCCAGTTTGGGTTTTGTGAGGGTATAGACAGATAGACTATAAAAATAATAAACTGACAGCACACTAATAAATAGCATTTTATGTAGAGACAGAAGAAAAAGAACTAAAACGACTAATAGATAACTTTGCTGTGCGAAAGGACTTACCATTAACTAAGACATAGTTTGGCAAGTTATAGAACATTTTTAAAGGCATTAAATTGCTTTAAAGACCAATAGGACAATAAAATTTATTCAGAACTTAGAAGTGTTGTCAGTATTTTTCAGGACTAAGCAGACACTTGAATGAGTAAAAAATATCAGCCACAGTATAATCCTGCACAGCTCTTAGAAGAATGTCACTACAAAAGTGGAGGGATTTGGAAAATGAACTTGATTTATATCTTCAAAAGTTTGGGAAGTCTCCAAAGATGGTCACAGGCTTACAGGAACTGGATAACCACAGGAGTGTGGGTGAACTCTTGTCATGACTTAAAACTAACTTATGAGATAGAACAGGAATCAATTCTTCCTTCTTAAAATAAAAATATTTAGCAGTGAGACATGGCAACACTTTATACAGAGACAATCTATAAAGTTACAGTGTCTGTTTGTACCAGCAAATCTGGTAGCAATTTTTGACAATGATAATTATTTGTACAGTAAGAAACCGTCCCTTATCTATGTAAGCCATGTTATGTATAGCTAGTATATACTGTTGTACAGCACAGGTACTTACCTTCTATCACAAAATAGGCTTTTTGCTCTAATTATAAACTGGATACGTGCTGGTTTCTGCATAGATAATTCCACTGATAGCTTTTCATAAGTGTTTTATTTTTTTCTGTTCATACAATACCCCTGAGGAATAATATTCAAACACATTAATTAAAACTTATTCAACAACTTGTGGGTTGCTTTCTTTCTAATTTAGTGGTGACTGCAGTTTGGAAATTGTGACTTAGCCAGCTTAAAAAATCATATGATGTTGTTGCTCATATAAAAACAGTTAAGTAAAAATAACCAGAGGGAATGCTTTTAAAAGTCAGTGTTGGAAGAGCTTTCACTCGGTGAGATGAAAAAGAAATCTCCCATTTGACTTGAGAAAAGTTGACAGGAAAGACAGGGGCTCTTCTTGAACATGGCCTCCTTGAAATTGTTTGAAAGGTCTTTGAGACACCTGGGGAAAAAATTAAATTCTATGCCCACTAACATATAATTTCAGCCAAATATCACAAATTTTATGGTGGCAAAATGTGGAAAGATAATTACACTTTATCCTAGGCAGTAACAGGTGTTGTTTGTCAGGCCCTCTCTATTCATATCCCAGTCCCACAATCTTCCCAAAGACAAATTATTCGTCACCAAGTGGAATTTTTACCATGTGCAGACACACTGCTCTAGGCAAGGTTGCTTTTCCTGTCCTGCTTTAGCTAGGTTGAAACATCTCAGGCTGCCAAAACTCTCAGAAACATTTTCAACATCCAAGTCAGCAGCAGCCATGCAGGGTGGTGCTCAAAGCATGACTTGGGCACTTGGATGCATGCCTTCTTCTTGCTGTTCTTAGTTAGTGGGAGATTGAAATACCTAAACCAACTCCCTTTAGCTTTTTTGCAGTAAAATGGAAAACCACCAGAGGTTAGTGATATCTTACAATCTCTTCATTTTGCTCCATAGATTGATCACTGAAGAGCAATAGAGGAAGTATAGTATGTGTTCAAAAGTGGCACTGGCCAGTATTTCAGAGAAAGAGACTGGTAGAATATTCGTGAAAGATACTCTGGATCATGTGCCTCATTTATTTCTATAAGGTGTGATATGCAGCCTTTACTTCCCAACTAGAACAGGGTCTACTGATTATTGTGTTTTTGCAGTGCAGTTTACACAGGTGAGCAGGGACATGTATGCGCCTTTTACCGATTTGGCATTTACACAACAGCGTACTTCCACAGCTTCATTCCTTAGTCCAAACCGAGCCATGTACACTCCAAACGAGCCAAACCGGTCGCTAAACAGTACAGGGCTGTGAGTGTCACCCCTCCAAAAATTACTTTTGTCACCAGAAACATTGTTGCTGTCTTCTTTAATGAGCCAGCCACGGAAAGTGTTTCCATTTGGGGGGCTGTTTTGGCGGGTTTTGACCTTTTCCCCGTCAGGCCCGGAGCGACCCGTCCCGCTCCCGTGGACAACGGCGTGGGGCTCCGGGGCGAGCCAACACCGCGCACCCTCTGGGAGACACAGCGCAGTGCTCTCGCCCCCAGGGGCCTTCGGACGCCGAGGAGGTGGGAGAGCATCTCTTCCGAAGAAGCCGCCGGGCCTCGCCGGGCCTCGCCGGTCCCCAGGAGCGCGGGCGGTGAGCGCTCCTCCCCCGGCCCCCGCTGCCGCCCGGAGCCGGGTCCGGGGCGGGCCGGGGCGGGCGCGGGCGGGGCGAGGCGCAGGCGCGGCGCACGGCGGGCTGCAGCCGGGCCCCCGTGCCGCTCCGGGAGCCGATGGCAGCTGCACAGCGCGGCCGCCCGGCGGAGCGCGGCGCGGCTCGGCGCCCCCGGCGCGGGATGCGCGGGCGGGCAGGCGGCGGCGGCGGCGGCTGCGGCAGCTCCGGGAGCCGGAGGGACGGGGCCGGGCGGCCGGCGGCCGCCGCGCTCGCCTGACCTGCGTGCCCCGCTGGCCGCGCCGGGCTGCCCCGAAGGATGTCCGCCCAGTCCAAAGGGACCGCATCCTCCTCCTCCTCGCCGTCCGAGGGGCCGCCGGCAGCCTCCAAAGCCAAGGTGAAGGAGCAGATCAAGATCATCGTGGAGGATTTGGAATTAGTCCTGGGGGACCTGAAAGATGTCGCTAAGGAACTTAAGGAGGTGAGAACGAAGGGCTGCGCGGGTGGACCCTCCGTCTGCCCCGTGTGGGGCAAGCGCCCCACCGCCCGCAGGCCGGGGTCCGGCTTCCTCCGGAGCTCTGCTGCCTCCCCCAGGCTCCTTTTACCGCTTCTTCACCGCGGTCGAGCAACTGGTGTCCAGGCTGGGCACCAGCACGGGTAGCTCCCTGCCGTGCCCCGGGCGGACGGCCGGGCATCGCCGCGCTGCTGCCCGCGGCCCGGAGCGGGCTGGAGCCCGTGTCCCGGTGCCGTGCGCCCCGGGACCAGCCGTGATCCCCTGACTGCGACGCGGCTCTGCTCGGGGACTCCCCACCTCAGGGCACCCCGCGGAGTTTTATTTTTCCCGGGGCGGGTTGCCTCTCCTGAGAGGTGTCTGCTGGGCGGGGGAGGCGAGTTCTGGGGAGCTGCGGGACCCGCAGCGCTGCCCGGTTCCGGGCTGAGCCGCGGCGGCGTCCCGGCGGTGGGAGAGGACTCAGGAACGACCCCGCTCCGGCGAGTTTAACTTTTCGGTGTCGTGGTGCAGCCGTGCTCGCCCGCAGCCGCAGCAGCCGCAGCAGCAGCAGCAGCAGCAGCAGCAGCCCCGCTCGCTTCTCCCCAGCCGGGAGGGCTGAGCGGCCCCGGGCCCCGCGCCGCCCTCGGCGGAGGCTCCGCGCCCGGCGCGGCCAAGTCCGCCTCAGCCTCTGCAGCCTGCTTCAGCGAGAGCCGGGCGCCCTGCTTATCGACCCTCTCCGGCAAGATTGCCTTTGCAATCTCTCTTTTGCGGGTGGCGGGTGTCATCTCCTCTAGGTTAATCTGCAGGCAGAGTGCGATTACCGCGGGCACGTTCATAAGCAGGGAGATGCAGTAGCTGAAGGAAAAGAATTTAGCTGTCCTTTTGGAGATTTCCAGGTTATCTTGATTTTGCTGCACAACTGGTCGACAGATGGTTAGATTATGCACCGGAATGCAAGTCCAGAATCTCTGTGTATTGCTTTATAATCCTATATTTGACTTTTATAATAAGCTACAGGGTTTTTTGCCATCAAATATTAGTTTTCTATTTCAAGAGCATTGTCAACAAGTTTCTTTCAACAGTCTTTGGCCATCTGAGGCAGTCTGAAATTCACCCAGTGCTTTGTATAATGTTGAAAGATGTATAAACACATGGCTCACTAATCAGAGCTGTTAGGCCCTTTTTTCACTCACAATTCTAGGTTTCTCCTTTTTTTTTTTTTTTTTAAATATATCTATAATTTATCTTTTTCTTGATGTGCTGCTGTACTATGCTTTGTAATTTTCTGAGGTATTTTGAAATGGAAATAAACAATGTTTGTAGAGCAGTTCTTTAAACGTTTCTAAGACTGACAGCGTAAACTGGCTTCTGTTGCTGCAGCAGCACATTTTCAGGACCTGGAAAGGATGTAATGTGTTCTGTCCCATGAATGTAAATCATTCCCAGCACATAATCAGTCCTAGCTTTCTTCTAGTGAGCAAACAGTACCGCTGTAAGTGGAGATCGTATATCATCATTTACTCTGTGGCATGTTTTATCTAAGCAAACTTGTCCGTTCTGGTTGACTGGATCTGTAAAAGAGAACTGGATTTACCTCTGCTTCATAGGGAAACTTGTAGGGAAATGGAGCTGTAACTCTGTTAAGTACTGTGTACCTGTTGAAGGGTGCAAGAATTGCCAATAGCATGTGTTTTGAGAAAATAAAGCTATTTTTGTAAAAAGGATAGTTACATCTTGTTTCTGACTACACATGAAGTTTTAATGCTCTTCACCAAATATGCCTTGTAAAGACCGTAGCTCTGATACTCCATCAAGTATGAGTTGCATACACATACCATCTGCTTGATTGCAATATTATCATTATGTGTTAAGTACACTTTATGTGACATTTGTTTTGTAAAGTCTGCAAAAGTTTGTCCTCTGATTACCTACCTTTAGTTTATCTGCCTTTATAGGGCGGGCTAAATCTGCACAAAAACTCTTGACATAACTACAGTGTATACTTTTTATGTAAAAGTGAGTTAATTGGCGATATTATGAGCTAATAACCAGTCTCTTTCACGGGTTGTTTGTAGGTGTTAGGAAGCACTGACAGGCTCTTTGTTAAAGCTTACAGGAAGTTAGTCTATAGTCAGTTTTGGTGTATTACACATAGAAATATAACTGTGCTTCATTTAGGTTCCCTACTGTTGGACGAAATGACGAAATAGAGCAATTTCTATATTTCTGGAAATGTTGTTGCTGCCTTTTTTTTTTTCCCCCAGGGTGTTGCTGCAGCCCAGCTGTTGTGCTACAACCTTTTCTGATTTCTTTTTTTTTTTTAATTTAATGAGTAATATAGTATACTGGGAACAGCCTTTCATTTTTTTTATTACTATTTAAAAAGTTTTCAATTCAGGTACAGTGGTAGGACATGAAAGTTTTTTACCCCCTTTTTTGTATAGTTCAGTAATATTTAGTTGTGATATAGAAAATACAATGTTACATTAATTTTTTTGTGATTTACATCATTTTTAGAACACTTTTTTTTCTTTTCATGCCTACATATTTGTTACCTTCAAATGCAAATTACAGTTATTCTTAATGGAGCACATAAGCTACTGTGATAGACTTCATGACTTTGTTTCAGTCTTCTTTTTAAGATTTCATGGTCAAAGTACTGTCAAAATGAAATACCATTTTGTTGCTTCAAAATTAACTGCTCTGTAACAGTAAGTAGAATGGCTGTAGAGCATTTGTATGTTTTATGACATTTAGTTTGTTATGGTTTACTTACATTAATGTATTTGCATCTGCCCTGTGTTCTGAACCTTTTTCTAATTTTGGTTCTTTAACATTTTTTTATGTTTTTAAAAAGTGGAAATTTGGGGCTGGGTAGAGGATGGCATGTTAAACCCAGATGGGCAAACCATGAAGTTTATAAATGCTGTCTAGAAGCATGTGACTAAATCATGCAGATTAAAAACAAATACATTGTAAGAGTTACTGTGTCTCAGAAGTGCAACATCCCTTTCTTCCCTCCCTCTCTCCCCCGTATTTATTGTTCTGGTCTGCTTAGGCTAAGGTAACCACAGAAGATTGAAGATGGAGAAGAGAGGTGACTTGGAGACACGGAAGGATGAAGTGGTGCTGAGTCCAGAGTCTGAGCTGGGTGTATGGCTAGTCTTCTCTAGGGTGCCGTAAATTTAGGGGAGGCTGCGCCCCTTTTGTCTCCTTGCATGGGTGTATAGCAACAATGGGATTTTTTTGCATTGAAAATTGGATTTGAAAGGGTTTAAGTTGCTGTTATTTGATGAATATTCCAAAGAAAAATAAAAGGGGTTCCAGAGGATTGAGTAACACTTTTTATTCCTTTAGTCCAGACTATTTAAAAATTAGTTGGTGGAGCCTTACACTTTGGTTTTCCTAAGAGAATAAAGGACCTTTCTCACTGGAGTTTGTCTAGAAGGATGGTTGTTATTATTAAGTCTTGTTTTGGAACTAATACTTATCTGTCTGGTACTTAAGTAATGTACTATTGTAAATCAAAAGATGTGTGCTAATTAAGCTATTGTAAAATGCATGATGTATGTAGCCCTCTGATTACTTCAGAAGGGATTGTAGGGGATATATATGTACACCTGTGAACAGCAGGGCACAGCTTTATACAACCTTAGTAATGATAATATAATTTTTAAGCCTTCCTTGCTTTCACATTTTATGATAATGTTACACGTTTCTGTAGTCTTGTGGTTGTTTTCATTAAGGAAATACTTAACTAAATAATTTGATAAATACTTTTTGTAATAATAAAAATTCATCTTGTGGAACAAATTCCTGGAAGTTATGAGACATTTGCATAGCTTTTAATTGGCTAAATATGCTCCAACCTTTTATCGAAAGGAAGCAGCTGTGTAGCTATTGCCAGTGTTTAGAATACTCCAAAATGGAGGTGCAGGAGAAACAAGCCCTCAAAGGCATTGCACATACATCAGTGAATTTCCAGCCATTTGAATCTACCTCCTCTGCTTTAAATCCTGTGAAAATGTCTTGCTGACAGAATGAGTACATAATCTTCTGTCATCCAACTGATGTGTTTATTTTCTGCAAAGATATGATCTATATAATCTTGGCATTACTTAATATTTTCTAGGTGATGATGGCACTAGCAGATACCAAACCCCTCCCCCAAAACACCATGACAAAGTTCGTTATAGGATAAACGACCTGATTCCATAAGCAGGCCAGTCATCACTCTCTTAAGTGAGGGCTGGTCATGTGTTCTGTGGTTTTAATTTCTGGATCAGGACTGCAGAAGTGTATTACAATTTCAACCACCAGTTTTTTTCATTCTATTTCTGGTAACTATCCAGATGGCAGAAGGGTACTTCAAGTTCTTGCCTCTTAAACCAGAAACTAGGAGGTGTCAGGTCCACCAAGAGGACTGGAGCAGCAATAGTCAATCATGTATCAGTATCTCTGATGTGCAGGCAGTGCAACTACCAATATAAAAATATGGTTTTTGTTCATATTGCTGCATGAGGAGGAGGCAAGGAGTTATTGCAGCACAGTTATGGGAAATACTATATAGAAACCTAAGGGTAATGAAGAAAAAATAGCAAAACATTTTAATCCATTCCTTCTCCTGATTACTACCTCTTTGGATTCTGTTCAGGTGTCAAGGACCTGACACT